TAGTGCTTTCATTGAGTAGTGATTTTCCAAGCATAGCTTAGATGTGGCACAAAGCCAAAAATAGGGGGTACCCAGTGAGAATTGAGCTCACTACTCAGTCATAATTGTTCTAGTGAGACAAACTTGCTAACCATTACACTGCCTCGAGGTGCTCATGCTTTTATTGAGTAAATTAAATACAAACATCCATAAACACAGAGAGAAGATGCATATTGTTAACAGTTTTATTTTTTTTTATATACATTTTTTCTGTTACCTACCATTTGTTTCTCAACTTTCATGTGGAATAGGATATTCTGAAGTGAGGGTTATTGTAGCTCTTCACTACTCTGTCCATGTGACCAAGGGCAGACGTTATATGTCTTCATGATTTTGACCTTTTCTTTGTTACATTGCCACACACCCCCTTCAATTTAAGTTCATTTAGTTTCATGATAACCTTAATGACTTTTTAGTTCTTTCAGTGCTACAAACCTAGTTAGAATACACTTTGTGAATATTTTATACTTTTTATATTTCATAGCACATCTCAGTTTATTTTCCTTGAGATTTTTAGTACTTTGCAGTTAATGTTTACACTACCTTTCCATAAAACCTGGTGACTTCTTGCCGAACCCAGAGAGAGAGGACAAGAAGGAGGAGAAACACAGGCCCCCTGGCCATTGTGGCTAGGGTGCTTGGACGGGTTGTGTATGGAGTTACATTCCCATTTATTTTTGTCTGTGAACTGGATGCTAGTTGTGCTTTCCTATCCACTCTTACTTCTAGCACTCTTGCCCTTATTTACTTCTGGCATTCCTAGCCTTTGCTACTTCTGACTAACACAGACCCTTATCTTCCGGCAAACCTAGCCTTTACTACTTCCGGCTACCACAGACTGACTTCAAACACACCTGCCTTTCATTACTTTGGGCCCTTTTCTCGACCTAACTCATTTGGTTGATCTGCATTAAAAGACCTGCTCACAACATCCCTGAATTTACGGCTACACCATAGGTCCCTACTTCCGGCATTTCTCTCTCAACCTAACTCACTTGGTTGATCAGTATTAATGGACCTGCTTACAACAGCCTTAAACTCTCAGTTACACCATGTTCCAAGCTATCCTATCAACCTAACTCACCTGGTTTAAGAAATTGCTATATATATATCATCCAGACTCAAACAACCTATTCCATATACTTTGGTTAAAATATTACACAAGGTTCACCATTGGATTTGACCAGCAACTACGCAATGCCAGCACTGGACATTGGACTTGCTCAGCAACTATACAACACCAGCACCGGACTATTTATGCAATGCCAACACCAGACATTTAAACAGAACTTTCTTCTCTTTGGCTATATTGTCCAGACTTCAAATAACCTACTCTGTATACTTTCGTTAAAATACCATGGAAGGTTCATCATTGGACTTAATCAGCAACTTTTCAACACTTTCACTGGACATGTGAAAGTAAGTTTCTAACTGTAAACTTACATGCTATTTTAACCCACAAGGACTCTGGTCTGTATTCTAAATAAATTTTGTATTAAATTTTAATTTTGTTGTTTGTTGTCGCACCCCCTCCAGAAGATCCACTACAGAGTCTTTAATAAAAATTAGAGCTTAAAGTGAAAGAGATGGTGATAGGTTTTAAAAATTTAATTCCTGTGGGTATGTTCAATAATTCACCCAAAAAGCATAGCATGATTAAAAAAAGGTCTCAAAACTTAAGAACAAAGATTTATTGTTATTTAGCATTAGAGTTTTAGTGTTTTTTCAGTTGAAAAATTCATTAATTTGGAAATTCTTGTAAAAATCAAATAATTGTCAGATTTTAATGAAACTTTTAGAACTTACTAAAAATGAGTTAAACTATTTTAGAAATGTTTGTTTTTTAGAAAGTCATGGTAAAAATATTTTTTTTTACTCCACCCTAATTTTATGAAAACTTGAATATGTGTATTTTTTTAATTAAATACAGAAGATTTTGATTTTGTTTTTGTAAATCGAGGTTTGTTTCTACCCAAACTTTAGCTCTGAATAAAACCTAATAAAACTAAGACATTAATTAAAAAAAAGTTTTAAATGGCTTTTCTGAATAATAACGGACATCATTGTTTGAAGTCAAAATATTTTTTTGATGAAAAATGAATTTTTACAAGAATTGTTTTCTTTTTTTCAATTTTAAATACAAAATGTGATAAAGTTGTTAAATATTTTAAAATTAAGTTTGAATATGTGTATCTCTGGAAATGCTCTTATTAAAAGATTTACTTTTACAGATCTTAAATTTAAAAGCTTATTACAATCTGTGAAGCGTTTCTATTTTTAAAATAATTTTTTTAACCTGCCCCAAAAATGTATTAAAAACGTTTCCAACAAAACTACAGAGACAATTCAGAAATAATGTCCCGTGTTTTAAGAGTTGTTTCTCCTGATAGCAAGGATCCGGCCTCATAAATTGCATTGATTTTTGTTCTGACTAGCACATATCAAATTCTGACTGACCATTGTCGTATTTTCAAAATTTTTAATTTCCTTTTGTTTTTTGGGGGTTTTGTGTGTGTGTGTGTGTGTGTGTGTGTGTGTTTTTAAACATATTTCAATAAATATTTTTTCTTTTTTTTTTTTTTGTCTTTTTAAGTGAATGACATATTGCAATTATTCATTTTTTCTTTTTTAGATTCAATTTTAGGGACAGAAACAGTACAGACTTTAGACATATTTTCATTAAAAAGTACCTAAATCAATAAAATATTAGACTTTTGAAAGTATTTAATTTTTAAGAATTACTTTATAGTTAAATAAGCTGGTTCGCTTAAAATTCAAAAATACTGTCACTTCTGTCTTTCCATCCGATAAATTGCCCTGACGTTAGTTGTCGATACATTGTGAAAAACGTCAACAATTCACACCTCCAAAAACCAATCAGCACGGTTAGACATGCTTCTCTTATTTCCAACTAAATTTTTTCTGCTAAAAAATTGAGTAATGTTTATTTCCAATTACATTAAGTATACTTTAAATTTCTAATTTTCCTAAAATAACTTGAAAAGAGTATAATTGAATTTTACAAGATTTTTATGAGGAAAATTTCACTTTTGTTTACTAGTTTACAAAGTTGTCAAAAACGGCTGACATGATCGATTTAAAAAAAAAAAAAAAAAAAAAAATTTTTAACTAAAATTTTGGATGTGCTAGAAAGGATTACAATTTATTTTTTTTTAAAATATTCAAAAAATACTTTTTAAATTTTTTAAAAACCCTTCCCCTGAATGAAATAAATTCGTTTTTCGCCAGCACTTTTTCAAAAAAGTTTTAAACAATTATTTTCGTATAAGCTTCTTTATGTGCTTGATAATGTTAAAAAACAACAAAAAACTAAGTTTGAAATTACACAGTAATCTATTCTTAACTAAAAAAAAAAAAAAAAAAATGAATAGATTAGATTAATATTCTTTGTTTTTAAATTAATTATAGATTGTTGTGTCTGTGTAAATAGGAAAAAAAAAGTAAGATATTTTTTTAAATGTTATTGTTATCTTACTTAGGTTTCATTTAAAAACCAAATTTTTGAAAATTAAGTTTTTTGGTTATTTTTCTAGTTTTGTTAAAAATAATTTTTTTTAAGTTTAAAAACAGTGTTTTAAATGTTTTTTAGTCAGTACAGCTGAATTGTATCGTGAAACTCCTTTTAAATCCGAGCAGCAGGTGGTTATAGAACAGTCTTTTCCCCGGGCAACTAAAAAAAATAATACCCCAGCATTAATACAACTACTACTACTTAATGACAAATTAGAGAGAAAAAACAAAATTTTAGTAAATTATAGCTTTAATTTCAAGTGATTTGTTCACTGTCAGATTTTTTTCTGCATTGTTCGATTGTTTTTGCAACAAGATCAGTAAGAAGAAAAAAAATTAGAACTTATCGCTACGATTTCTGAAAATAATTGGTCAATTAAAGTCAGATTCGAAAGGAAGGTGAAACTGAAATTCAAGATGACTTTGAATTTGAGTGAATAGTTGTATTGTAATGTAATGTAAACAATAATTCTAAAAAAACATCTGGTATTGTAAAAAAAAAACAAACATATTATTTTTTTTTTTTTTACAGATTCTTAAATTTAAGAAGAGTTCGAATCCTACTTATTCGGAACAGCAAAAAAACAGGAACTCAAAATTGTCGATTTTTTTTTTAAAGTTAAAATATTATTAAAAATGTTGACCATTACAACTAGTGAAATGAGTTTGATCCTCACTGGGTTCCCCATGCTTGTGTCCAAGCTACGCCGAAATTAACACTGACTAAAAAATAAAAATATACTGATTCACTAGCTCTTTAAAAAATGTAATTTTACAGTAAGTTTTAAAATATAACCACAAAAAAACTTAAACATCTATTGATTGATGTATATTGTCAATTGTTGTTAATAACATATTTTTTTGTTATTTTTACTTTAAAAGTAAAATGCAAATATTTTTTTGTTAATTTATTTAAATTATTTTTAGTTCACGTAAAATAAATTGTTATCAAAAAGATAAAAACTTATTGCTGTCCTTTTTCTTGGATTTAAGTCGTAAATAAACAATGAGTTTTAGGAAAATTATTCTCTATCGAAATGATGAGTTCGAGGGAAACAACGAACGAGTTGTGAATTTTCTTTTTAAAAATGTAAACAATATTTTACAAACATAAAAAAAAAACAATCTACAACTATATAAGTGTTGTTTTTTTGTTTTGTTTTTTTACAATTAAATTTTTTTGAGTATATAGTCTTTCAATTAAAACAAAAATCAAAACTTCAAACTCAAAGTGTCGTCGTAACCCTTTAAAATTTAAAAAGGGATTTGTCAACACTACACAGAACGTCACAGTAAAGACGATGAATATTATTTTTCAATTTTCACTCAAAGATTATTACAAGTACAAAGAAAATCCGTTGTTCGGTATGTCATTTTTTGTTTAATAATTCAGTCATAAAAAAATATATAAATTAAGAATAAATACTCACCTCTGGCTCAACACAAAGGTACGTCATATTTGCACATGGCATGTTTAACGAAGAAAACGAATGAAATGCAATCCAAATTAATTGCCCCACCTGGAATAAGTTTACAGTACACTCTGGCTTGGAAGTTATTTATTAAAACTTTTCTTTTCTTTTTATAAAGTTGAAGAGCAACAGAAAAAAATGTTAAACTTTTTTAAACTCCTTTTTTTTTTCTTTTTTCAAATTTCAGTACTTAGTTGCCAAACAAATTGTTGTGCTTTAATTTAAATTTACTACTAATATTCACCAGTTTTGGTTTTCGTTTTTTCGCACAGGCCGTTTTTATTTAATTAATAGAATCGATATTTTTACCAAAAGTTTTTCCCAGAGTTAAAAATTAAGTGACCGTGCGAGATGTGTGTTCCCAAATTTTAAGGAGATCTATCAGTAAGAAGCCAATCTTCGATATCACTGAAAGAGTGAAACTGATTATAAAAATAACTTGGCATATAAATATATAACACTAAAATGGGTGTAACAAGTCGAAAGAAAGAAAATGTGCGCTGACCCGTTCAAAGTATTATTTCTACAGAGAAAGTGTGTCTCTTTCTATCATTACGTAAATTCTGAAAGGCTTTTTACACCCACCTACAAACGTACGTCCCTACGCGTGACAGTGGATCGGAGAAGAAAAATGTATAACATTTTCATTTGACGCAGAGTACACTCCCAAATCTCCACGCAACATTGTTTTTCTAGCAGGAGGGAGGGAGGGGGGGGGGGTAACCCGAAACCAAAAAAAGTTAAGAAGTGCCCACCTCTTTTCATTTTCACTCCTATATTAAGAAAAGAAAAGTCGACTTGTCAATCATAATTACATTTATTTTAAAACCAGTTTGAATAAATTTATTTTAAAATAAAGGTTTTATTATTAACTTGTTTAAATTTTAATGAAAAATCGACAAATTAAATCATGGATGAAATAAAAAAAAAAGGAAAACAACAAACTTGATGATAACTTGACACCAGATTTTTTTTTTTTTTTTTATTTAACTGAAACTTAAAAAAATGTGAGGAGGCGAATATTCAATAAATTGCATGATGAGGTGTGAAGCAAGAAGATTAATCAAACGTTTAAAAAAAAAAAAAACAATTTCCGATACCTATCCTAATGCAAGAAAAATGATAAATGCTGAAGTTTGCAAAGAAAATCTAATAACCTGAGTTTTCAACGGGAAATCTCTACACTACAGTGTAGTTTAAAAGTCTCTCTAGGCTCTTTCTAGCAAAATACAACAAAGTATTTTTTGTTTTCACTTAAAACCCCCTTGCCTTGCTTCAGGGCTTACACACAAGAAAAAGCTAGAATATATCACTAGGTCATTCCCGTTAAACTGAGACGTATGTTAATCTTGCCTTAAACTATCATTTTAAGCCTGGTTCCTGGAGATCAGTCTCCAAGGATTTTCCTCATTGTACAAAATGAGGTAATGCACACTAAATCCTACATTTGATGGAACAGAGAAGCAATTTTTGCCACTTGCTCAGAAAGGTGTATGAGTCACCATTCTTTAGAAAAGGCCTTGTGCCATATATCAGTAGAAAGATGAGCAAATATATATATTTTATCAGTGCTCACTGAATCTATATGCTTTGTGCCTCAGCTTATGAAGTGATGAGATTTAATGCAAATTCTTTCTCTTGCATGAAAAAAATCCCACTAGCCACTAACTAACTAATTTTTAAAAGTTACTTATATTTATAGAAAAAAAATGATTCAATCAAAATAGTTCTGCTTGTCTTTTATACATTTATTCTACCTTGACAATCATTTCCCTTACTAAAAAAATCTTCCTTCAAAGAACTAAGAAATTTAATGAAGGTTTCTTAAATTTTATTCTAACTGAGGAAATTCTTATAGTGTATGCTTGTCTGTGAGTTTGTAAACTTGTTTTTGGTTTCATATGTTGCATTTTGTCATAGGTCCTATTTTTTCTCCGAATTAAGTAATTGAAGTCATATGATATAGTTGGTTGTCTAATTGTTAATCTTGGTAAACATACTCCACAAGTGGAACTTTAAATAATTTACTTATTTATTTCAGTCAGTTTACCCAGATTAAAAGTGAAAAATTAAAAACCCGAGTGCCATGCCTAAATACAACATAACGCAATGAAATGATTTTTTTTTTATATAGGCAAAAAGGAAAACCAAATTGAAATAATCATTTTAAATAATCATATATTTATGTACATAACATTTGTTTTTATAGGATAAATATTATGTTTGTTCTGGTTGTAAAAAATAAGAGTTTAAAAATTTGACAAAATTTTCCATTTGCTAAAGGGTAGTTTGTAAAATCATATGCGTTGGTCAATATAAAGTGTGTAGTGTACATATGTGCGTGTGTCTGAAGCACATTTTAATGGAGTGTGTGGTGAAGCACATTAGCAGAAACGTTGTGTGTATGAGCGCTAATACGTGAAATCTAATTACGGTGGTTCCAAAAGGAAATGGACATACAGATAGATAATTAGACTTACATTTTTCGACGGTTATGAATATTTCTTTGTGTGATTCCTTTGAATGATGTATAGTCATCACTGACTGAGGTGTTGTCATAATAACGAGAGAATTTTGGTCAGGTATTTACAGATTCAACCGCCAGTCATCAATGGGTGATCTGTATCCACCTGCTGACTGGGTTTTTGCTGTATGTGTTTTTATTGACTCCGAAATCACTGTGTGTATATATATATAGTGATCCTGATCATGTGATTGGCTCCAAATGAAAACTTTTCTGTTTTACGCGAAATAGCGCCCAGTTCATTTGGCATTCAAACATATGGACATAGAAGCATAGTACGTAACTGTAATGTCCAATCAAATTCCAGAAATCACTTGTTTAATTTTTGATCCTATTTTTTTTTTACTGATTTGCACAAAAGTTTTTGTTTTAGTGATTCTGATCCTATTTATGTGTAGGCATTTTTTTACTTATTTGTGTTTCACCTATTGGTTGTAAAATATAGGATTTTATATCCTATAAGTCCACTCAAACATAATCAATGAGGAAGGGAAATACTGTTGTGACTTCTCCTTTGTTTACGAGCTGACCCTGATAGTGGCTAAGCATACTCATCTTCCCTATATAGCTGGGATCATGGTAACCTTTTAGACCTCTTCCTTACCTGGCCAATGCTCCACTGAAGTATTACCTCTCTTTAGCACTTAAGACCACTCATTGATCTATACTAAGGTTGATGCCAAATCAAAGGCATCTTCAAATGTACCATTTCATTGGAAAATCTACAGAGCACATCAAAGCTGATTGGGACAGCTCAGGACTTGCATTGCAGAAGTATCTGTCTCGGGTTTCTTCAAAAATAGAACTCCCAGAACAGCTGCCATGATTTATCTTTGGCATGAAAAGTTTTCCCCACCCACAAAATGTATCAACAAAAGCCAAATAGCCAGCTTTGGTTCATGCCTGAATGTGCCGTGGCTGTAGCTCACTGCTACCATTTCTATCAAAGGGAATGGTGTAGCAGAATCCTTGTGTCATCAAGAAATGCCAAGAATCAATGCAAAATCCATAGAGTAGTTATGCACAGGCAGTTCAAGTTGAAAAATGCTTTTGCCCTCAGTCCTTCAACCATGCTGTCTTCACACACCTCATACATACCCAAATCGTACAAGGATAATTATTTGTTCTTATTCACTGAATCATTTTTAGTTATTTTATTTTTAGCTCTGAAAACCTTTTTTTAATATTATATAATACTATAATAAATTTTCATAAAAGGCAAATAATTTATGAATTATAATGCATATAAAAATATAAATGACATCAAATATAAACACACATTAAATGACAAGATTATATAAGAATGACAAGAATTTACAAGTATCAAGAAAGAAAGAAGCTCCAAATTCTAAGTTCAGGATTGTCCCACAGGTCTATAGTCTAGAGGTATCAAGTAGTAATTTGTGAATTTGGCGAGTTCAATCTCTGGGCTAGGTAGTACAGACTCAAAACACATTGAAAGCAGAGTTAGTAATAACTGAACAGTACTAAAAGAAACAAGATGAGATGTGCCTAGACATGGACAGTGGAATGAGAACAATTTATCTCTGTTTAGTTCAAAATTTCATGAAGGTCAGCTGGATTGACAGACACATTAAGAAGGTCAGAGTGCATAATAATAGTCAAAATGTTATGATCACAGTAATAAAAAATAATTTTTATCGATTTCAAATTGTATAAGCATAGTGGAATTTTCAGGTTTTGAAAAAGATGACTCATAGCTTCTATTGAAGAAATTTTACTGATGTCACACTTTTCTTGGCCTATCAGCTAGCAGACACTTGACCCCTTTGATGGTTTTGGAAGTATACCTATGTGGTTCATCCTGTCAGCCTGAGGGTTAATGACATCAGATTTCTCAGTTAATCAACACCTAGCCCTTCTGGGAATATCTTGGTTAAATCTGAAATCACCACCAGCTAATCACTTTCTTTAAAGGACCCTGCAATGTCTAGTTAAGAAATTTAAAAACTTATCAAAAAGTTAAAAATTTCTACATTCAGAACACATTGTTATTCCTGACCCTGCAGGAAGAGTGAACACTCTGGATTCAAATCCAAATTATTATCAAAGATTCCAGAGACAACAAATTCACAACCAGATCCTGCTATTAAATATCAAGGCCCAAGAAATGTTTTATTCAAATACAGCAGACAGGAAGGCCCCTTTAAAACTTTTGGGGCATTTACCCTCTTTAGGTAAATGAAGAATATTGAATGTTAATTTATTTGTTTACATGTGTTCGGGAACTTACTTATTTTCATAACAAACTTTACTTCCACCTGGGTAATATTGTTTTTCTTTGAAAGAGTGTTTCTACCCCTCAAGGTTAATTTGATTTATGTTGTGTTATTTGTAATGGAAAACTTTTGATTTTTTACAATGTGTAATGTAATCATCTTTTTCTTATTTAATCAATCTTGTTATTGACCCAAACTTTCTGATTTTTAGTACATTTTAT